TGTCCACCGGGGTTTTCCTGTTGAGGGGTGTCTTCTTGGCCTTTACGTCTGCAAAAACAAATTTCTTAAAAAATTTAATTTAATTCTAATTTTTTCAAAGTATCACTAAACCTTACTTCTTCAGCCGTTAAGCTAAATGCCTCGAATGAAATGTAGCATAAATGAATAACCATACTATATGGAGGCTTACTATAAGACCTTTTACAGCTGGAATAAAGTGATACTTTTGCATTTCATGAGATCCTACCCTTGTGCCTTTTTTGAGTATAGTATTTTTTGAAAAAGTTTGAAGTCACTAAATGATCCTTGAGACAGCTATAAATACACTTTAATAATCCCTAATTCCATTCTTTTCTTTTGTGTCTATTTGACTATTACATGTTCACTAGTGTTTTATATATATTTTTTTATTTCACGGAATTAATGCCTTCACTCTAAAAGTATTTCTAAGTAGAAAAAAAGCATCAATTATGGAATGGCAGCGGGTGAGAGAAATGATTGTGAACTCTTACCTTTTATACCAGAAAATAAAGACGATCATCCCAACTACAAAGAGTAAACAGAAAACAACTGCAACCGCTATGACTGAATCAGGTACTGATTTATCCACGTAACCTCCTTCCGCTTTCTTGATCTCTACAAAGAAAAGATGAGGWACTTCTGAAGAAAGACTAACGTCTCTTAACGTTTAAGAACGTCAGTAAAGTAGAGTACAAACACTAAAAGTGTGCAACACTTTGCACTACTTAGTAGTAAATAGTGCTAATTAAACAATAGAAAACAATAGGATTAGCATAATTTAGCAGTATTTTAGTGGTATTTATGTTACACACTTATAGCGTTTGTATTCTATACGTATACAGCTATTTCAAAAAGGTAGGTTAAGTCTTTTTTTTTTTTTTTTATCATTTTCATGTTGCATACTAAGCGCGAAATGTATTATGATTGATATGATTTTAATCAGTGAAAAGTCATAACAATACAGAATCGAATTTTCCAATAATTTGTCTACAAACGCCAATGCTAATAAAGGTTATACTTTAATGGACTACTTCAAAAATACGACGGCCACCTTGGTTCGCAATGCATTATGGGGCGTCCAGGGGGCAAATAAAGTTTTGCTGCTGTTGATATTAACAGGTCACTACAAAAGCATACAACAAAAGATGAATTAAGACACGGCACATCGATCAACATAAAAGAAAGACAAACACACCAAACTCTATATATTTTCCGTCATTTCTGTTTCTTTTTGCCCCCTGGCAAGATGGCCGCCGTATCGTCGAAGTAGTTCATTTTCCTCTTGTGAATATATAACTTACCTTTTTCAAGAACTATAGGGTCGCTAAATGGACCAGGACCTGCAATGGTGTAGCCACGTACAGTGATGTTGTACTTCATGTTGTCTGTAAGGCTTATGTTCACCAGTATGTATGGTGACTCGCTAGCATTAGMTGCACGTGATGCAAAAGGTGATCGACGCATTCGTCTAGCCAAGGAAAACCAATTTATCTCGTAGGCAATATTCTTTCCATTGCTTAGCTCTCTAGGTATTTCATTCCATGACACGTTGTATTTTCCATTGTCAATCTTGATGACTTTTACGTTTGCTGGAGCAGATGAYGGTTCTGTTTTGAGCGTAGTGAAAATAAGAGTGAGTATTTCTTTGTAGTCTTACCATTGCACTGCGACTTTGCACTGCACTGAAATCAATTACATAATTTACGTATGTAAATTGTCCGTTTCAAACCATGATGTTTACATGATGTTCTCTAGACAATTTTCCCTTCCCCTTTCTGAAATTTATTCATGTGGATATAAAGAAACATTTCTCCAGAGAACGTCAAGTAAACATCAAATGGGCAATTTACATAAGAAGGTATTTAGGTCTATTAACGCATCCTTCGTATTTAATGCAACTAAAGAAGTCGAGGGAATCAAGGCTGACGTACGGTAGTGCCCTCCTCTCTTACCTCCCACCTCTAAGTTGTCGGATTCGATTCCTTGACTCGACATCACATTTAATTAGAGTTTGTTAGGTCTCTMCCCAGATTCAAGGGTTTTTCTCAGGGTTCTACAGCTTTCCTCCCTCTACAAAACCTAACACACGCTAAATTCCAATTTGATTTGATCATTAGCCATGCCTTGACTTTGGTCCTTCAAAGGGAATCAATACAATTTCAAAAAGGTCATCCGGCTTTAGGATTAGCACGTATCTGCAACTTATTAGAACATTATACAAGCATATGATAAGAATTTCAACAATACTTACTACATTCCTGAATGTTTGCAGTCCAGGTTTCAGAAGGATCTCCAATAAGACCATTGGCCTTGGCTTTCAAATAGAATTCAAAACGAGCTCCACCAATCACATTAAAAATGTAACTCATGCCCGTAAAATCCGTAATGGTCAATGACATCATACTTCGATTATTATCAATGATGTAATTATAGAATAGGGTATAGCTTGCTATTTTGCCAATGGCTCTCATTGGTTTCTCCCACTTCAACGTTACAGTTGGTCTTTGGGTCCCACGTTGAGGGTTGATTGTGGCGTTAAGATGTCTTGGTCTCGTGGGTACTACGTTTTGTAGAAAATTTGAATTTAAGGTCGGGCTCATTTCCGGTAATTTTGAACGCTTTTTTCTTACTCAAACAAGTAGTTATGCTACTCGTAAATACGATCCCGCCAACTTCCGTTTTCATTTTAAACACTCTCAGAATTATTCTACTAACTCCTATTTTCCTAGATCTGTTAAGTTATGGAATAACCTCCCACATTCCTTTAAATATGTATCAACTGTTTCACAATTCAAAAGTCTACTTTTTGAGCACTACAAAACTAAGCTTAGTACTTACAGACCGCCATAGTGTGATGCTCATGTAATAGATTATAAGTTTGTTTATATAAGTATTCTTAAGTTTTAGGCCCGGGTCAGGCACCATGCTTCACGGCAGGTTGAACCGAAAAGCATTATTTTTGAGACTGTACGTTCCGCTTTGGGTTCGGCTCATGTGGAGTGCGGCGTTTTACCTTGGCCTTAAACAGACATATTTTACATTTTCTTAATTAACGTAAGGAGTTGAAATTCAATTGGGGCTATCGCCCTGTTTTCTTCTCCGGCCGTCCTTAGCTTTGTATGTTGTGCATTTAATTGTATTATGTTTCTGGCAAATTCCAATAAACTAAACTAAACTAAACTAAACTAAATTAAAAACAGAGAAATTAACTTTTGTCTGCTGATCCTACTATAGAGGCTTTGCAACCTCACGTGATGGCAACCCCGACAAGAGGAACAACAATAAAGTGTTTTCCCCTGGGAAAGTGAATTTTTTTTCTCATGTAAAATTGATTTTAAAAGATCCCAAATTGTTCTTGTTTTTTGTCATGACTGCTATAAAGTGATGATCGGTGCAAAGCGTCTGTAATAAGTTATTAACTAAGGGTTAGGATCGTTTCAGCATAAAATATATCACACAAATGAATGGGAAGGTAATAAATTCGCAACCTTGAAATTCCACGCGGACTTTCACTGAGTCTTGGCTGAAAAGCATCACCGATTATTGCAGACCTTTGCTTCTGAGTTGAATTCCTATGATGCTTTGAGAAGTGTCTTTTTTGAAAAATAGAAATCAACAATAAACACCGAAAACAATAATACATACCTAATAATGTGGAGATTTTCCCCCTGCTCTGCAGTTTTCTGTATGAACCATAATCGACTTGACAAATGTAATCCAAACTGGTACAGTGTCTTTGCGCTTTGTCACAAGAATATCTGTCATAAACATCCTCAGCTGATGTGTAGTTTACACGTAGTGTTGATATGAGTATTGATCCTGTTCTTAATGAACCGATAGAGTAACTTGTAATGTCTGTATCGTTATGGTACCATTTGATGCTAAGTCCTCTTTCTGCTCTGCACATCAAGTCTGCATGCGAACCCTGACTGGGTTGCAGTTCTTTGTTCCCTATCGGTGGTGGTATCGGTGGAGCTAACAAAATATATACAAAAACGCTTTTTTTTCTATGTTTTCTTATACGTTTGACAAGCTTCTATTTTATAACTTGAGAATTCTGTATTGAGTGTGCAGTCATCTACAGTTATTCTGTTTCTGAAGTTATTCCTATATCCCCACCCCACCCCCCAAACATTAACTCAGAATTTACATCTGCCTAGACTTTTCAACAAGACAATCGAGAAGCGTACCTGGTTCTTTGGTAACACCATATATTTCCACTCTAAAGGCGTATGCTTTAATCTTTTCTACAGGATAGAACCGTACAAATCTAGCTGCTAGAGGACTTGGCAAGGAATGCTTGATGATGATTGTTGAATTATTTTTGTTACCAATAAAAACCTGAACACATCGAGAAATAAAGTTACAGGAGAATCAAAGAGTAGAGTTTCTATCCTCCCCCTCCTTCCTAGTCCAATGTTTTAAAATGTCACACATTCTAAACATAGAGTGCTACAAATCCGCTGATGCTCAAAACCTCACAAACTCTATGTTTAACAATATATATGGACATGTAATGATTTCCGATCGCAAAGACGGACAACACAATTGTAGACTCACGTTTGTTCATAGCTTTTTAATGTGAACAATCTGTAATATATATTATATATATTTCAATTCAATTGATTTACCATCTCCTTTTCCAAAGTTTTGTTTTCTACAGGCACCCATAGTAGATCATCTATAGATCCTTTAACTTTGTAATTTATTGTCCTCTCGTCACTGTTCGGGTCACCTTGGGTAGCCACAGCACACACGTAGTAAATCTCTCCAAGGTCTATTTGTAACCATGGTTTGGTATCATCGTCACGTGGTCTCCATGAACTCTTACCAAAGAGCCTAGCTTTGGCTGCAGTCCTCGTGCTACTATAAATAGAACTTGCCGACATTCTGTTGTCTGGCACGGCGCTGCTATTGGACATAGCAATGGCTAATCGCGTATAATCTAAAAATAAAGAAAAACGATTGTATGTGCTTAAAARACTGTATTTGTGTGGTTAAAATGTTTTTAAAATATAATAGATCAGTTTAAACAATGAATTTATATACATTTAAAGATAAATCGCATTCAAAACTATTTGCACCTTTTTCACGTATTACATTAAATCTCAAAAATACTGAAAGTTTGTCGACCTGTTCACTTCTCAAAACCTGCTGGCCGCAAAATATTATTTTAATTTCTG